ACACACACACACACACACACACACACACACACACACACACACACACAGAGAGAGAGAGAGAGAGAGAGAGATTGAGCGAGCTGCTAGGTGGGTGGCTGCTTGTTAATCAAAAACCTGTTTAGGCAAAGCAAGCCCCACAGACTTGCCAGAGGCAATTTCAACATCCTGGGAGGGAACATAAAAGTATTTAGAGTATCCCTCGGCCATTTCTGGCTCTTGCAGGGCTGGGAGGGTTTGGATTCTTGAGAGCAAAATCTCTTCCTGCCCTACCAGCCTCCTGTCTCACTCCCTTCTCAGGTATTCCTTTCCTTTACGAGAAGGAACTTGGAAGCAAGACATGGAATCTGATGCATCCAACGTTTTTTCCTCCCTTCTGAGATCAAAGCCTGTGATCTAAAATGAGAAACTGGATGTGCTACTAGGTAGCTTTTGTTTGGGCTTGAAACTTAGCCAGAGCCTGGCCTGGTTAATGTTTGGAAGGGACAAATGGAAATGGATGGAAAGATTGTAACAGCAAACTACACAGCTGGACAAATGTATTGTTAAATTTATTTGCTGCCTATCTCACCAAAGCAATAGTTAAATAATAGAATAAAATATGCAATGAGAAAGAATAAAGATACAGCAGTGGGATAAAATAGGCGTTTCATGCAGGAAGACCAGGAGCCTTTTGCAGTTGTCATTTTTTTCCCTGGGGTTGCACAACCACCTTCTGCAGTTCAATGTGAGCCTAGGAAGAGTTCAAGAAGTTGCAGGCCAGAGATACTTGCGCCTTCCCATGAGCTTTCTAAAGCACCTTTTCACCTCAAAGCACATATCCCTTTTCAAATAAGGCTGAGAAAATGGCATATATAATCTCAACTTACAACCACAACTGGGTCTGGAATTTCAGTCATAAGTCAACAGTTGTAAGTTGAGTCAGAACTGATTTTACAATCATTTTTACAGCTTTTGTTAAACAAATCACTGGTGGTTAAGTGAATCATGCAGTGGTTAAGCAATTCCAGTTTCCCCAATGGCTGGGTTTTTTTTTGCTGCCAAGCGCTCGCATTTTGATCCTATGACTGTGGAGATGTTGTGACAGTTGTAGGTGCAAGGAACAGTTGTAACTTTTTGTTCCCAGTGCTGTTGTAACTTAAACAGTCAGTAAATAAATGGTTGTAAGTCAAGGACTACCTCTATGGGGGTTGGGGATTTCTCATATTATTCCCACAACAATCCTGCGAGGAAGGCTGGACTGAGAGAAAGAAGAACCTGCCCCAGGTAACCAGGAGATCTGTTTTGGGGTCTCCCAGGTCCTAATCTAACCCTATAACTCAGGAGTCTTCAAGCTTGACAGCTTTAAGATTGTGGACTTCCAACTCCCAGAATTCCTGAGCGAACATGACTGGAGGAGGAATTCTGGGAGTTGGAAGTCCACAAGTCTTAAACTTGCCAAGTTTGAAAACCCTTGCTAATCAGTGCAGGCGGTTCTCAACTTACAACCATTTGTATAGTGAACATTCAATGGCACTGAAAAATGCACTGACTTATGACCATTTTTCACATGACCTTTCCAGCACCCTCATGATCACGTGATCAAAATTCAGATGCTTGGTAACTGGTTCATATTTATGACGGCTGCAGTGTCCTTGGATCATGTGATTACTCTTTGCGCCCTTTGCGAAGTCAATGGGAAAGCCATAAAATGGAGCAAAACTCACTTAACAACTGTCTCAGCGACATAAATGTTGGGCTCAACTGTGGTTGTAAGTTAAGGACTACCTATACTGTACTCTGCAGGGTTGCCATGGCATGACTTTTGACTTGAAGGTTGAATTCTTTCGGCAGTATTTATCATGCCAACTTCTCCGTTCTCTTCCAAATTAGGACGCATGTGGGGATGAAGAGCTGGAATCCAGGTGTTTGCAAGAGACAAACTGCAGGTGTAGATGCTTGAATCAACTTCAGCAGAGATTAAAAGCCCATGTGATGTATTCTGCACCATAGCAACCCCCCCCCCTTCACCCCTTGCACACACTCCTGTTTCAGGAACATTGTTTTTGTATTTGACAGATTTTTACCATCAATGCCCACAACACCCAGAGACTTGCAATTACACATGTCCAGCATTTGGGCATGAGATTAGCAAAGCTCCATCCCACCTTTGCTTGAATTGGTTCATCTTTCCCTCTCCAGGTTTGCAATCGCCTGAAATAGATTTTAAAAAGCCTTTCGGGAAGGTTGGGTTTCTAATGAGAGCAACCAGTTAATTGGAGAACTGGATACAGGAAATGACGAATTGTCTGGAAGGAGCCTTGAACTGAAGTGAAAGGGAAAGAATGTTGCCCCCACCCCCATGTCTTGCTTTTCCAACAATACCCCTTTCCCCATTCACACCTCTTCCTCCCTCCCTCCCTCCCTCTATTCTGGACAGGGGTAAAAAACACAGAATCTATTTAGATAAAGTTGAGCTTGATCCTGCTAGGTTTCATAGATGCATCTATGCAATTTTCTTGATGTGGAAGATAGTTAAGAACCTACTTCAAAATGCAGAAAGGGGTGCCACAGACTTCCAGCTGCCCTCCCTGAGAAACCCAGCAAGGAGGAACAAGAGTAGAGAAAAATGCTATGCCATGATGGTATGGCAACGTGCAAGATCTGAACACAAACATTAAACTCACATGAATTTATGGTGTTCCATATAGACATAAGAATTTATCCATAAGAATTTATTTATAAGAATATCCAGTTCAGGCAGCTTAATCTACCAGAGTATTAATTCAGTGAAGGCAATGAGGGTGATACAGGGACTTACAGACACATCCCATAAGAACAGTGGAAGACGCTTGGGTGTTCGGTGGGAAGAAAAGACTTAAGAGAGATAGGAAAGCCATGTGCAGGTACATAATGGAAAGCTACAGGAGAGGGTCCACAATTATTCTCTGCCATCATAGAAACCAGGATCAGGAAGATTGGGTATAACTGTTGGTTGCCTATTTTTTCTTTAAACATAAGGACAGCCTCAGGATCAGAAGTGTTGCTGGATACTAAGCTCTATACAATGGTAGAACTGGCTGTCTAGGGCTGTTTCTCCATTTCTGGAGAATCTTAAAAAGGGGCTGGACAGTCACCTCTCGGGGACAGTTTACCTGGTTTTCCTGCATATTGTATGTAGGGTTGAATAAGTTCATCTTAATGGTGCCTTCCAATCTGTAATTCTATGACGCCAAAATTCCTTCAAGAGTTTAAGGTAGATAAAAAGAATCCCTTCTTCTGGTTCTAGAGGTAAATCCTTGGGATCAGAACTTCCATTGTAAGCAAGGTGGGGTTTAGTGAGTTATGCCCAATTTTAAAACATTTTTTTTTTTGCATCAGTGTTATAGCACATAGAATCGTAGCAGTTGTTAAGAGAAAATGCAATCATTAAAAGAATCCAGCTTCCTTCACTGACTTTACTTGTTGGAAGGCTACAAATGATGAACATAGGATCCCAGGGTGCTGCAACCATCATAAATACATGATGCTTGTCAAGCACCAAAAAAATTTTTTAATAAAGTTTTATTAATTTTCTATTGTTTACATTTGGTTAGTGCTTAATAAACATAGTGTTGTCTGGGTTATTTTATTTGCTTAGCAGTACAGATTACATTCTTAATCTCCACCCCCTTTTTTCCAACCACTGTTAGAATAATTTCCAAGTTTGATAATATTCTGTGTCTTCTTTCTGTTTAATCTTCAATGTAAGTCTGTCCATTTCTGCACAGTCCAAGCACCCAAATTTTGATCCTGTGATTGTGGGACAACCACACTGCTGTGACGGTGCAAGGACC